GGGACACGGCTGTGCATTCTCATTCCTGCTGCTTACACTGTAACTGCTCTGTCTGGGCAGAACTGAACGGTTATGGCATCCAAGCCCTCGAATGCATCCCATCAGCTTTTCATAAAATCAGTTTAGTGTTTTAACTAACCCCTGGCTTCATGCAAAAGGTGGGTTGTGGAATCACTCTATTTGCATAACCATACTTAATAGGCTGAAGGTTTGCAGACCCCCAACTTCACCCTGTAAAAGCCCAACCCCTCTAAAGTGATGTGGATGGAGGAGGGGCCGCTGGGAAGACACTGGCTATGGATGGGGTGGTGAGAGCGGGATCCTTAGAGGGGCCCAGGTCCTGATAAGGGGAAGAAAGGAGGTCAGATTCTCTCTCTCTCTTTCTCTCTCTGTGTGTGTGTTTGACTGTTTCTCAAGGACACAGCAAGAAGTCCTGGAAGACAGCCCTCCCTAGGACCCACATTTACTGGCATCTTGACCTTGAACTTCTTGGCCTCTAAAATGAGGAGAAAGAAATACTTGTAGCACTTGTGGCAAACTCAGAGGATCAAATGCAGATCTACCTGCCTACCCTGAGCAATAAAATGCTACACTTATCTCTGGGTGCTACAGTTACATTTGTGCGGGGGGGCTACGTATGTTAAATGTGAAAGTATAGAGAAGGCGGTATTTTCAGGGTGGCGCATTGGCTTGACTGGCTAATCTTCTACCTCCAAGCACTGGCATCCCATATAGGTGCCAGTTCATGTTCTGGCTACTTCAGCTTCCTGCCTGTGGCCTGGGAAGACCATGGAGAATGACCCGAGACCTAGGGACCCAGTGCCCACGTAGGAGACCCAAAAGAAGCTTCTGGTTCCTGGCTTTGGATTGGCTCAGCTCTGGATGTTGTGGCCATTTGGGGAGTGAACTAATACATGGAAGATCTTTTTTTGGCTTCTCCTTTTCTCTGGAAATTTGCTTTTCCAATAATTTTTTTAAAAGGGGGGACAGTATTTGAATTACGTTAGGAAAATTGCATAGTGAACATGGGTCCTGGCAGTGGGCTGCCGGTTACTGACACGCTTCATTGTGCCCAGTCCCCATGCCACCCTAGGTGCAGGTCCCATCCGTTCTGCACTTGGGGAATTTAAGCACCTCAGCCAAGGTCACTGTTAGAAGTCATTTAGGGTGGAAACACATTGAGGAAGCCACAAGGAGCAGGATAAACGTAGGAATTGGGTTAGGCAGGGTGTTTTATTTGAAATCTTGGGAAACGGATCCTAACAGATAAAGAAGGGGACGTGTGTGGGATCTTCATACTAACCTATGAGCAGGTCTAAGACAAGCTCACGCTGGTCTAGCAGGCAAGACTGCTGCGCACGTGAGACAAAGCATCCAGGAGGACCTGGAAAATGGCAGTGCGCTGTGCTAACAAAGGCTCATCAAGGAACTCGTCAAGGCCCCGTGGGCTGAATTCCCAAGTCCTCCCATCAAATCCTCTCTGAATCAGAAGCAACATAAACGTACAAGAGCACATTTAGTCGAACAGACCATGCTGTTCCATACAACGGAATCCCATGCAACTCTCAGAAAAGCAGGCCATAATGATATGAAGGCACTTCAGAAACATTCTTGGAAAATGAAATTAGAACAACAGCATTGTTTTTTTTTTTTTGGTGCCAAAAAGTTTTGAAATTGAACAGAGGAGAGATCTTCAACAAGTGCCTGGAGAATACAAACTACGAAACCACGATTGCACGGGTGCGAAACCGTCTTGCACTAAAACCACCCTCTCTCTCCACTCCATTTTTCCAGGAACCAAAGGACCTTGCTATGGCTGCTCCAGTGTTGGCATCACAGTGCTGAGGAAAAACCCAGCAGGGAATCATGCTGTTGTGGAGGGTGTCTCAGAGCCACAGTGTTCTCAGCCAACAGAAAGGAGGCCTGGACGTGAGACAGAGAGACTAAAGAAAAGTCACACGTAGTTCTGAATCTGAATCCCAAGGATCAGCGTGAACTTGGGATGCACCTTCATGACAAACAAGAGCCCATTTCTTATTTCTTTCCACTGAAAAGGCTTCAAAAACAATCAACAACCGAGACTCCCCACCGCTGTGCTAAGCACCCAGATGTGGCCTCTAAATGGCATTTCTCACTTCCCAGGAATCTGGAATCCCTGGAAAATGAGCTCATCCCAGATACAGGGCTGATCCCGGAATACTGTGATATTATTGCTGTTTGGATGACATCAAAGACTCAATTTCTCAAATATGTCAAATTCTCAAACCTGAATCCGATGCAACACCCAAATCAAACCACCAATGTATAAGAAATGCAAAGCACAGAAGCACACAGCACCCAAGGCTGCAATCAGACAATCCTCCCAGGCTGCAGGCATCCTCACAGGGCCAACGCATCCAACTGCTTCAGCAAAGTTGTAAGGGCTGAGGTGCTAAGGGGACCAGAGCTAAAAGGACCCTGGCTCAGGTCCTCCATCTCCCATAATGTGCGCCCTCATTTGAATTCTGAATTTAAGTGAAGCTTAGAGAAAAGGGCGTTCATTGACCTCTAAGTCTGAACACTTGCCTGGCACTTGGTGATACTCTGAGTGCTGGGGTGCAGTTGGTTATGTCTCTGTTAACCCACATGAGTCCTGGTTCAAATCTTGGCTGTTTTGCTTCCAATCCAGTTCCCTACTGATGTGGCTTGGAGACCAGTGGAAGATGACCCAAGTGGGTGGGCCCCTGCCACGATGGGGGAGACCTGGATAGACATGAGGATCCCACTCTCAGCCTGGCACAGCCCTGGCTCTTGCAGCTATCTGGGAAGGGAATCGGTGGATGGAAGATTTTTCTCTCTCTGTCACTCTGCCTTTCAAATAAGTAACTTTTAGCAAAAACCAGATTATTGCTAATTTGCGAAGGAATGATAATGCTCAAACCAAAGTGTTGGTTTATTTAGGAATTGATATTTTTCAGATGAAACTATACAATATCTCAGATTTGCTTCAAAAGAACCTGGCATTAGGTGACAATGGTGAGGACACAGTCAACAAGACCTAGTCATGGGCTGCGGTCGCTGGGGCTGGATGGCAGCCCTCAGGATTTGTGGTCCTGCCTTTCTCACTTTTCCATGGGTTTGAAAGTCTCCATTTAAAAAGGGACTCAGGTAAATCCTTGCTGCTGTCATGCCCCGGGCAATAACACTGCACGGCCGTTCCAACTAAGGGTCCCTTCCTGGCTGCTCTGTGAAGCATGATTCAATTTTGTGTTTTAGATCATACATGTAGGTAGCCCCAATGGGCGTCGCCTCACTGCCCCACATCAATCCAGGGCAGTGGTACACTGTGACATGCTTGGGGATCACAAAGGCTGCACAAGCCCACAACAGGTGCTCAGTGGTTTTCAAGGCACCATGTTCCATCCTTGCCATCCAATCCAGTGCATCAAAATAAGCTTGTCTTTTAGCTCTGCTTCCTCCACATTTTTCAAGTATCCTTATATAAGCACCCACCACCAAAGTACACAGGTACTTCAACAATGGAATGAAAAGATACCTTGTTCTGGTACAAAAAAAAAATCCATGCCTATTTTTTCCCACAATACACATTTCCATGAGCATCTTGGAGTTGCTTTATGTGTAGAATTTATTTACCAGAAGATAAGAAGGTGCCAGGACTCAAACATTTTGCTCTAAAGATGACAAGGGCACAAGAAACTCACAGCTTCAGAAAGTGATGCCCTTGAACTAACCAGAACCCGATCTCTCTGACACAGGCATTCCGTGCTGGCCATGACCAGGAAAGGACAGTCCTGCTGCTCAGGCGGCCAAGTGTTGGCATCCTGAAGCTCTGAGCAAACGACCAGGCGAAGGCAAGCAGTAAGACACTGGCTGGGCTCTCGCACCGTTGCGTGCCCACCGAGTTTCCCAAGTTAGACAAAATGGACAGAAAGGCAAACAGCCCAGTTCTCCTCCAAGGACCCCATGGGTGAGAGAAACGAGGATCAGAGGTGTGGTCACCGGGTGGGGATGAAGGAAAAACCTGGGTCCTTGTTTGTTCTTAGAGATGAGAGTCTAGCCCTTGAGGGAGAGCCGTGGGGTTAGTCAGCTCCTTTCAGCATCAGGGTTGGCATCCCTGCAGGGCTGGGAGTCCCTCCCGTCGGCTTGCTTTGCCTTTGGAGTTCTCCACTCCGGGGCCCTTCGCACACGGCCTCCAGTGACTGTCTGTCTCCTGCATTGGCTCCGGTCTTTTCTTGGTGGTCCCTGCTCACCTGGCATGGGGTCTAGAATACAGAGGTGCTCACTAAACATTAGCAATGCAGCTGGAAGTCACGGTGGTGCTGACAGGGCAGATGTGGGCTTGGCTCACAGCTCCTCCAGCTCACTACACCTTCTTGACCCACGCTGTGTTTGGGTGACCAGATTCCACTGCCAGCTTAGCTCAGACTTCAGATTTTACAAAGTGCTGAGCTCTTTCCTGGAAATGCTAGCGCTTCTGCACCCAGCTGCAGCTCAAGGATGGTGTGTGATAATTTTTGGATGTAGTATGGGGGATGGAGATGACAGGCATTTAAGAGGCATCACAATGAAAGGTTTTAATTTTTATCTTTCCCTGGGCCAGCAAGAGATCATCCGATCCTTTCTCCCTAGGCCAGTTCCCAGTCCACCTTGCACTGGGGGGAACCCACTGATGCTACGCAGTGTGCAGCTGAGCTAGGCCATGCAGTATTGCAGGTGAACTGGATACAGTTCCAACTCACCACGGGTCAGCCAAGCATACTGTACTGTAAACAGAGGGGCACCTGGAACCGGAAATGTCTGCTTCTACACAATCATATTCCAGGAGAAGAACCCCTGTGGTTTCACTGTGCATCCGTCTGGAACGGTTGATGGATTTCTAGATAATAATAAGCTGTGAGATGCTAACTAGGCACTCGGCCCAGGACTTGGTCCAAGGGTTGAGTGGTGCAGTGGACAGAGGAACACTTTGAGACTCAAACCATTCAAGGAGATGGGCAAACCTGGGCATCTTCAAATGTGTGCCTTCCTCCATCTTTGACATTCTGACTGGTGATCTCGTAGCTGTGGGAGTCCAGGTTGATGGCACTCGGGGCTCCAGGAGCCAGGAACTCTTGCCAGATTTCTTCCACCCTCTTGGCCACATCCTGCAAGGGCTGTTTCTTGAGGTCTTGGACAGCCAGCCAGAACCTGAAGTTGGAGCAGAGACACGGTCAGTGCCAAGGGCTCAGCAGCTGGACCCTGCTGCAAGTAGTCCCAGGGCTGATGTCCATGACACTCATTCTGCAACATCCTGCCTGAGTCACAAAGACCACGGAGTCTGCTGGAAACACAGAGAGCACCTCTCTCTTGCAAAGTGTGGAAAACACATGTATAACAGAGGCCAGGATGTTTTTGGCACCAGGTATGTCTCTCCTTAAGCCTGTAGTGCACATGCACCCCCTGGGATATGCCTCCTGGGTCCCCCTTCCCGCTGGAAGCCAAGCCTGGACAACAGCCTCAGCAGGGTTTCCAAGGCAGCCTTGCAGGGCACTCTGGAAATGGGGCATCCCATTGGCTGGGTGTGTCTGTCCCCCATGTGGTTCCAGCAGCCAGGGGAAGATCCCTGTGGTCTTGCCAGTGAGAGATGAGGGACAAAAAAAGCAGAACCACGAGAGGGAAGAAAGTGCATTCAGTCTGCGAAAGAATTTCAAGCATAGTAAGATGCGTTTGTATTTTTAAAACTAGGGATAAGCTTATTTTTCTGCTGTTCAGTGCACAGCCCAAATCCGCCACCTAGTGGTAAAAATGGGGTACTACAGCGTCATTCACACCAGGCGAGAAAGTGGGGTGTGTGTATGTATGTGTTCTCAGCACACTGGACTTAATTCTTTCTATTTATCACCCAGAGTTCCAAGGGACCCATTAAAGTAGACCTTCACGGGTCCCTTCCTGAAACCTCAGAGTCAAGTCAAAGGCAAGGCAAGGCAGGAAGGTGATGACGTCACTGGTCCAATCTGATGGCGTTCAGGACCGCCCTCTCCCTGCCTTTGCTGTCATCTGGAATTCTGTGAGGCTCCATGAGTGCCTCTCTCCTCCCTTGAAATCTTCCCATTCAGATGTAGAAATGTTTCCAGCGTGGGGGTGGGAGCCGAGGAGGAGTGGGCCATGCAGCAGCCGCACGCTCTGTACCGGCCCAGGGACTCATGTGAATACCACCTGTCATCACCAGCAACTTTTCCAACCTGCCAGGCCCTGCCTGGGTGGCTTCCTGAGTCCTCCAGTCCATGCCACAAGAGGTGCCCCCTTCTGTCATCTCTGCCCTGAGGTGGGGCTGAAGGGAGAGAGAGCTGCTGGGAAAGGGCTGCTTGGGACCAGGCAGCTCCCGGCCGCAGAATTATCTGGGGTCTCAGGACCACACTCAGCTGAATCCGGAAGGAGGATCAGCAGAGGCCGCTTTCAGCATCACCCTGGAGGTGGGCTTTTGCAGAAAAATTAAAAGGTTCTTGCCATAGAAACCTCTGAATTAAAATCAAGGTCCAGGGAGAAACAATGGGCAGGAGGGGGGAGAGCGCTCCCTGGTGGCCATTTCCTCTGCCAGCCTTGGAAGTGACCTGCTCTGTCTGGCGCAGTCCCAGCAGGAGCCTGCCACCCAGCAGGACATTCTGCCATCATTGGCTTTGAAGCACCTTTGTGTGCCTTTGATTCTGATAGGTCTAGCCAGCTGAGGCTGCAGGGCCCCTGTCACCCACCCCCAACACACACACACACACACACACACACACACACACACACACACACAGCCACGACAGCTCTGCTCCCTCGCTTGCTTGCTTGCTTGGCACATCCAGCGCCAGCATGAGGTCCCGGGAGGCCTCCAGGGCCTCTGCTCTTATCAACAGTCTGCAGGGCTTGCTCATCCCAAGGACACTGGGGCGGGGGAGGGAGATGCCAGTGGCAGCATCATGCCTGTGGCTCGTGGGGATGGCAGGCCACAGGGGCTGGCTGGTATCAGGGAGACCACCTGTCCCATCTTTCCCCTGGAAGCTGCCAATCGGTGAGCAGCGGGAGGCAGCCTGGATGTGGGCGTTTGATCTGCGTTAGTGGCTTTGAGATAAGCCAAGACAAGGCAGGGGGAGAGGCAGCAGGCGCTGGGAACGGAGCTGAGGGACATGGATGGGACTGGATGGATGGTGATGGGCGCTGCCCCAGATGGCTCCTGTGTCCTGGCTGGGCTCTTCCATGCTAGCTCAACTGGTGTGGACAGCTCTCCCAGGCCCTTGCCTACCCAGCTTTTCACAAATACTGTTTGGGGTTGGTTCCCAGAGTGAAGCAAATTCCAGGGCAAGACAAAGTGTTTCTGTGCCCTCTGCTGGTCAACCAGAGACTCGGGAAGACCAAACATGGTCCCTGCTCTCGCTGGAATCAGCTGCCTACATCAGCGACCACCTCCTGTCGCCACCTCCTGTCGTCCTGGAGAAGCTAAGCTACGGCCCCTGGTTGTCCTGTCCTGGGGATGCCCCTGTTTCTGGGCACTGTGGACTTGGGTAATGATGGGCCCTGCCAGGCTGGGTGGACAAGGGGAACCTCCTGAGGCGGTCCAGGGTTTGGGCTTCTGCCTGAGTAGAGCACTCTTCTAGGCAGGGTCTCCTGTACTCGCTTTTAATTGCTTCTCCCCTTGGCTGACACTGTGTGGAACCAGGATCATCAATCTATGGGTTAGAAGAACAACTCTGCTCTCTCAGGAGACATTACAGCTCATAAAAAATGTACGGGGGATGCATCTGGCTGTGGGGTTTGGTTTTTAACTCATGCCCTGCCATTTGGCAGAGGTGTTAGAAGGCAGAGAGGGACAAAGCCTGGCCGAGGGGAGATGGAATATGAAAAGCAAAGGGTAACAGCCACTCTGGGACCATTCACGGAGCAGCACGGGGACTTAGAGGGCTCAGCAGGGTCCCCGCTTCAGGCTGCAAGACTTCCAGCAGCACTCTGAAGGTACCCATGCCACCCCCGCCGTCTCCTCTGGCCCACGAGGGAGGATGAGAAAAAGAGGAAGAGGACCACTCAGTGCAGCGTGTACCACACAGGCCCATGTGTTGAAGGCTTGGTCCCCAAAGTTTCATGTTAGTGGCTGATGGGTTAAGAGACAATCTTACTCAATCCTAGCCCATGGATGCAGGTCCAAGGGGGAGTCTTGAGGTTTCTCTGGGGGGAGGGTGAGCCCTTGGTGGGGAGTTCTCCTAAGGCAGGTTGGCCTAGACTCTGGCCTAGACTCTCTCAGCTTCCTGGTTGGCCTTGCAGCCCGCCCACTGCCCCTGGTCTGGCATCTGCTGTCACTGTCCTGGGTAGATGCCCACCCTGCAGGGTCATCCAATCTTAGACTGTGAACCTCCAAATGTATGAGCCAAAATAAGCTTCCTTCTTTCTCGCACGTCTCCCCAGTGTTTGTAAAAGTAAGAAAAGGTGACCAACACGGCCTCCAGACCCTGGACACGACACTCCTCCCTTGTCTCACGGGCTCCCCCTGAAGTAGAGAATCCGAGGGGATGTACTATTACCATGCCTGTCCTAGAGCTCTTCCAGGAGGGATCCACGTGATATTCTGGTGTAGACACCACCACTTGGAAACTTCACTGGAACTCTACATGCAGTGTAAACATGTTACAAGATAAGCAGCCCCATCTCCTGGGAGAAGAGCAAGGAGCATGGGGAGACACAAGTGGACAGTATTTGGCAATGTGCCCAGTGGGTTTCCAGTGAGTCTTTTTGCCTTCCATGTTCAAAGTCAGTAGGCTGGGGAGAAGGGTGAACCCAGCCTAGCCAACAGGATCTTACACTGCGCCGTACTGCACAGCCCCCTGGGGGCTATTATGTCCACAGACCATGGTGCAGGGGCATCTGTATGGCCATGCCGAACAAAGGGGAGGGTAGGCACAATCTGTTCTGAATCTCTAGGAATGAAGAACAAGAAAGGGAAGAGGAAGGAATGATTGTGTGATGGGCTACCAGGAGCCCTAGCATGCTGGGATCTCAACTCGGAGCTCTCAACCACCCTCCATGTCCCCAGCGACGGCAAATGTCCCCAAAATGGCATTGGGTATCTCCAGAGAGGCTCCCAAACCATGCTTCTTTTCATTGCTCTATTCTCTTTCTCCTCTTTTCCACTGTGGTCGGGAGGGGAGCTTCTAAGTTGGGATTATGCATGCACACTGGGGCTGGCACAACCACCCACGATTACTCATGCACATTGGTTCACTGGAGAGTGAATGCTTCCCCGCAACCCTAGCCTCTGGGGAGGAGCTGGCAGCGGCTCAGGAGGTAATGGAGGAGGCAGGACTGAACACCTGCCAGAGACGCACTTCTTGGTGCCCTCCAGGCCCTAAGTCTCATGCATACTTGAATTTGAATTGACCTGTTTCTCGATTTCTGGAATGAATGTCCCATATCGGGTAAGGGTCCTCACAGTGGCCAGGTCCTTAAGGTTATTCTCTAAACTCTCTCACCGTGCAGGTCGGGGAGGGGCCTAAGGATCATCAGACCACGTATGGGTTGAGCAATGTGAATGTCCAATGGATCTCTGTGCCACTCCAGCTTGGAAAGTCTAGAAGACCAGAAGTAAGACAGGGTGTGATGGGGAAGAACTTCTGGGTGTGGTTCATGGAGACTGGAGGAGTCAGCTTTTTTCTTATTTCAACTAAAATACCTGAGCAGATTCAGATTGTGGGGAAGGAACAAGTTTATTCTGGCTTCTGATCCAGAGGTTCACGGTTCAGGATTAGGCAGTGCCATTCACCTGGCACCTGGTGGAGGCTGGCCATGGTAGAGCTTTACAGGGAAGTGAGCATGAGGCAGGACCGAAGCTGGACCAACCCAGTGTCAAGCAGCAGAGCTCTGACAAGAACTATTCCTTGAGGACCGGCAACCGAGGACCAGGGGTCATCCCAGAGCTGCATGTCCTAGCTGCCACCATTACACCAAGTCTCTACCCACAGCCATGCACCATCAGCGAAAGAACCTCGAGGTTCCAAAGCCCTCATGAAGAGCCAATTCCTGCCCAACCTGTATCAGAGACAGAATGTGGGACTGAGCTAGTCCCATAGAAAGATTGTGTGGGTGTGTGAGCTGGCTGCAGAGGGGTTCGTATGCTACGTGGCACCTGTCTGCGGGTACAGCCATGCTGGGCTGAGTACACCCTTTGTGGAGCATGTCAAGTCTCCTGTGTCAAGTCCTTCATTAGGAATGGAAGGGACATTCACAGATGTGCTTGGAGTCAGGCTCGAGCACGAGGAAGAAACCCTTGGACCGTAGCCTGCAACAGATTCCCTGACCTTATCTCGTGTGCAGCAGACATGCGCATGCCCAGGGAAGTGTGGACACACAGGGTGAGCTGGCAGCCCACGTCCTGTCAGGTTCCTGGGTGGGTACTATGCTTGGATCACCCTTTGCTGGGAATATTCTCCCTCCTGATAACACTTGTTCCTCCGTTGAAATGTTTCCAAGGTGATTCCGAGGGTTTATACTCACTTGTAGGCATTCAATGACTCAATCATTTACGAATTTGTTTGTTTCTTAAATGCCTTACAAGGTCGTTGGAGGAAGAGCCGCATTATGCCTTTCCTGAGTTCTTCGGTGGGCTCTTGGGGTGACTGGATGCAGATGTGTCACAGATATTGCTTAATGGGGCCATGAGAGACATAGATGGTCCCTAACTTCAAAGAAATATCGTGGATGCCACATGCCAACATCAGAGGGTCCATGCCAACATCAGAGGGTCCAGGCCTTTGCCTATAGCTTACCGAACACACGCTTTTTTAAGTAAGAAAGATATTTTTAAAAAATGAACAAAATATCTTCTCAAAGAAAATATCTCCAGAGTCAGCCAAGTATATATGAGGGAATAGTATAATGAGAGAAGAAACCTTGCCTAACAAATCACCACTGGTTCTACATTGCCTGTGGGTCTCTGACTTTTCATCTAATGTGACAGGAGGCTGAATAAGCCACGCCTTCCCAAGTGTTCCATGACCAAGCAACCTTTCTCTCTCATTGTGTCCTCTTTCCTTCCTCCCCCCGTGGGCCCCATGTCTTGAGTTTCGATTACACGATAATTATCAAAACATGTCACTCATAAAGTGTGATAGGCCAACAGACACAATCCTTGGCTGCAGACAATCAAGGTATGAAGCTGATGGAATTTTCCTATGCAACGAAGAGCCATCTCTCAGTCCTGCATGCATCACGCCTCCAGCTAAGTGAGATTTATTTGGAACGTTTCACATTCTGAAATGAGTCCCTAGGCCCTTGTCTTTTCTGTTGAGCCCTCCAGACAGGAGAAGAGTACTTCTGATCCATGACTTCTTCCTTCCCAGGATCCTGGGGGCTTTCCTGTAGCAAATGGTACCACCAGACCCATGTGACTGTTGGGCTGTTATCAAAGACATGTTCCTTAGTTCGACAGATATCACCCAAGCTTAAAGAGCTAGAAAATGTGGTTGGTACAGGGGCGACAAAGTCACACGTTTTGTTTTCTCCTTTTCAGCTTGAGTCAGATGAATGGAACACTGGATTTGAACCTTAACAATATTTGGCTAAGAAAGGGTGGTTGGGTGGGTGAGTCAGAGAGACAGATTGTGCAAATTCAAATTTCTTCACATGGTTCAAGCCTTGGAGAGACTCACCTGAGGTTTTCAGAGCTGAACTCGGACTCCAGGAATCGGAGGAACTGGTCCCGCCCCACCTGGTCCTTCAGTATCTCATCAAAAGAGAAGCCCCATCTCTTCACTCGCTGCTGGCTGGGCTCTTTGCTTTGGGAAGGAGAGAATGTTTAAGAAACGATGAGTCCCAGGCCAAAGCCCATATGCCATTCTTCTCAATAACTCAACTTCATTTTGTTTCATGCACTAAAAGAAAATGTCATATTTAACTGGCCGAGTCTATCCAATCTGCATGCATTCCAAGTACAGGCTTTAGGATACCAACAGCAGCCAATAGTAAATGCCTTTTTGAAAGCAGGGTTGAGGGAGCAGGTGCTGCAGCACAGTAAACTAAGTAGCTGCCTGGGATGACTGCCTCCCATTGCAGGGAGCCTGGTTGGAGTCTTGGATACTCTGCTTCTAGTCCAGCTTCCTGCTAATGTGCATCATGGGAGGCAGCAGGTGCTGGCTCAAGTACTTAAGGTCCTTCCACTAGTACGGGAAACCCCAATGGAATTCTTGATTCTTGTCCTGGCTGTTCTGAGCATTTGGGGAATGAACTAGTGGGTGGCTTGGTCACTGTTACAAAGGACAGTGCTTTGTGAGAATCTTCAGGGCCTGTCCAGTGTGGTCTCCCACTTGGGAGCAGCCCCACCTTCACCATCGCTGTCCACTACGGGCCCAACCCTGACTCCATTCACTTCCATTGGAAGCCATTGGATATGTGAATGTCACCTTTCCTCAAGGATATCACCCCCACACCACTTCCCACCTGTTCCTCAATCCACATGGGGGAGAACGGAGGGGTCTGTTTGGAGTACAGCAATCTGTCCTGGCTAGAAAGGCACCATCCGTCTGGGATAAGCCACACGCACGGGCTGAGAGGCAACACTTTGCAGTCACTTGCTGAATGCACAGCCACCTGCAGTGTTCATGGTGAGCTTAATGCTTTTCCAGGCTCACGTTGGCCAGCTCACAGATGGCTGGCGACTATTCAGAGGACCACGTACTGGTATGATCCTCACTTTCCAGATGGGGACTATGAGGCCTAGTGATATGTTGTCTAAAGACATGCGAGGAAGGGATGGAGGCTACAATCAAGTCTAGGCAGCATGGGTCCCCAAGGTAGCCTTAACCCCGCTCTGCTGTGTAGACAATCTTTGTTGTGCTGTCTCACATGCAGACCTAAGAGGAAGGGCTGGTCTTACTCATCTGGGGTTGGACAAGAATGTTTTCTTTAGCTGCTGTCTTTTCATTCAGGTCCACTTGTTGTATTTCTTGCCCCAAACTACATGCTCTAACTCCTCCCCATTTAGATGCGGTCCTTGGACCAGAAGCAGAATGTTAGCTACCAGCCCTCCCGGGACCTGTAGAGTCAGAATCTACAATTTAACCAGGTCTCTAGGTAATTTATGGACACATTCTACTATGGAAAAAATTGTTCTAGCTGCACTTTCCTTTAAAGAGACACATACTTTGTGTTATTTCTAACAGACAGTAAGTGAATACCATCATGCTTCCTCTTATCATGGAGTTGACACATTCTCAATATTCACCTTACAAATTACACTTAGTAAAAAGCAGAAGGGAACTAGTGTATTGGAAAGAAGGGAAGAGCAAAGGACTCTGTGCCACTGCAGTTCAATAGAATGTTTTATGATAATACAAGCATCCTGAACCTGTGCTCTGATGGGATGGCCCCTCGGCTCAGGGTTGCTACTGAGCACTGGCAAAGTGGCTAGTATGATGGATACAGTGCATTTTCAATTTTATCTGGTTGATGACACTAAGAGTTTCAATCTAAATAGCCACATGTGGCACACTGGATATAGAACTCCAGGTATAAGCCATCCAAATCCAATTACTTCTGCACCAGTAGATATAATCATCAACCATGGTGCCTGCTAATGCTAACAGTGACCAAGAGATCTTGTGCTTGGGAATCTGGGTGGTGTCCGCTGTCTGACTTTGCCTTTTCAGATGTAACTCACCAGGGTTATGGTAGCAGACAAGGCCCAGCAGCTCAGACTGTAGGGAATTCCACAAAAGATCTTTCCCAAAGCACCAAGCAGGGTCTTTGACAAAGCATGAAGCCAGACTGCAGATTTTCTCGAATATAAACCACAGAGCTAATCAAACTTGGTCACTTTCCAAGGAGCAAACCCATTGCTTACTGAGGATTCTCCTTGAGGTTGAACCTAGCAGCCAGTTTCAGCACGGGAGCATATCACCTTCTTCTGCTAGGACCACACTGTGGATGGACCCAATTATCTGCAAGGATTCAGCTTATACAAGGACTGTGCTGGGGGCAGTTGTGTCCTGATCAATGGCTGTGCCCAGAGAGCCTGCTGTGGAAACTGCAAGTTTTTGCAGTGACAGCCTCAGGGATGCACACCCAACTCCAATATCACTTCTTTCTGGCATCTAAGTGGTGAGTCCACATTTACCCCACCAGAAGGGAGAAGGCAGTGGCAGGGATGAGGAGAAGGACCATTTTGGTGTGAACCAGAAGTGCTGGATGTCACTGCAGATACAGAATTAGAGGGAAGTCTGAAGCAGAAGTTGGGGATGAGTAGCAGAAATCCAGGGATTGGGTGAGACAAAGTACCCTGAAGGATTAGTGCCTTAACATTGCCGCATGGAAATTCTATCAACCTGCTTGGATTACAAGAGCAGAAATGTGTGCTCTTGAAGTCTGGGAGCTAGAAATCCCAAATCAAAGCTTTGGCAGGGCCAGGCTCTTGCTGATGCCTCTAGGGAAACATATGGCCCCTATCACTTCATTGACTTCTGATGGTGCCAATGAGCCTTGGCATTCCTGTACTACTCCCATCCCTACCTCTGCCATTACACAGAATCCTCCCTGAGCTCCTTGTCTTCTCTGGGCATTTGTTCTGACTGTGTCTGTCTTTTTGGATTAGGACCTACCCTTCTCAATAGGACCATACCTTAAACATCTACAGCTATAGCGAGTCTGTTTCCAAATAAGGTTACATGCTGAGGTTCTGGGACAGATATATTCTGAGCTGGGTACATCAACTTAGAACATCTGCATTTTCTCAATGACCCATTACTCACAATCCTATCCATAGGAATGAATGTTTCATATCACCTTCACTTATTCCTGCTGCTACTTGGCTGCTGGGATTCTATGCTATTAGAAGCCTCCTGCATAAGAGTTTCTTTCAATGAATCTTTCCCCTATCACTTGGTTAATCCCCAAATCACCTGCTTTATGGTTCAACCATGTGTTGCTCCCACAGGATGGTCTCTGGAGGGTGTAAAATAATTCTGAAAATTCAAATATCTCTTGACCCCCATTCTCAAGGGACTGGTTCAGTAACTGTCCCTTGTGCAAACTCCAGCAAACAACCTTTAAGAACTCACAGGATACTAGTGAGCCAGGAGCTGGGGCTGTGGAGACCATGGTGGAAGTCTAACATAAGACCTGGAACTCACTGGAGGCAGCGGCACAGTGAGTGCAAACAAAGAGCCGTGTACCAACCACAATAAATAAAATCAAACTGTAGACCTGTGGGTGACAGAGGATGCAAACTTGACACAAGGAGAAGAATCTGCTAACTAGAAGTACAATGACCAAGAGCAAAAGAAGAGACAGAGGAACAAGGAATATTACTGAAGACTCCCCTGCAAAAGAGCAAAATTCTTTGTCAACCTCACAGTTTACTGAGGAAGACAGAGAAAATGGGAGATACAGAATTCAAAACACTTGTTATAAAGCTTCTTATCAACAACGAGAACATGTAATATAGGAGTTCAAAGAACTTAAGGAATATGTCACACTGGAAATGAATCAAATGAAAGCTGATACATCAGAAATGAAGAATACAGTGGAGCAAATTAAAAGTACAGTGGAGAGTCTCCAAAATAGAGTGAAGGAGGCAGAAGAAAGAATCTCAAAATTAGAAGATATTTCCTTCTTTTCACCAGGGGAAAACAAACAAAAAGCTGGAAGCAGATCTGGATCAGGTTAAAAAAAAAAGTCTTCAAGAATTGAAAGACACTATTAAAAGGCCAAATATAAGAGTTATGGGAGTCCCAGATGGTGCAGAAAGAGAAGTTGGTTTTACAAATGTATTTAATGAAATAATAAGGGACAATTTCCTTAATCTAGAGAAAGAATTGGGAAACAACATCCAGGAGGGACACAGAACTCTCAACAGGGCTGACCAAAAGCAATCTTCACCAAGACACATGATAATCAAGCTCTCTTCAATTGAACATAAAGAAAAGATCCTTAAATGTGCACATGAAAAAAAATCAATTGACATATAAAGCAATGCCAATTAAACTCACAGAAGACCTCTACAGGAAACTCTACAGGCCAGAAGAGAATGGAGTGGCATATTCCAGATTCTAACAGCAAAAAGTTGTTGACCCAGGATAACGTAACCAGCAAAACTCTTTGTTTTTGAAAATGAAATAATATTCTTCCACAGTAAAGAAAAGTTAAAGGAATACGCCTCTTCCAAACCTGCCCTACAAAGGATACTTACAGAAGTTCTCTTGACAGAGAAATAGTGCCCACCAAAACCAAAGGTAAATGCAAAGAACATCTCAGTAAAATAACAGAAGACTAAATCAATGAACAGCACATTGCTAAAATGACAGGACAAAATTATCACCCATTTATATTGCCCCTGAATGTAAATAGCCCAACTCATTAATCAAATGTCATAGATTAGTAGACTGAATCAAAAAACAAAACCCATCTATTTGTTACCTACAGGAGACACATTTCACCAACAAAGAATAGCAGAAACTGTATTTCTGAGAGTTTGATTTTTTTGTGTGTGAATTTCATCTCTTCAAAACACTTTCTTCTGATTAAATTTTTCACTGACTCATAGATCATACAGCAGCATCATTTTCTTCAAGATGGTTCTTGATTTTCTTTTTCATTTCTTCAGCTACACGTTAGTCATTCAATAGCATGTTATTTAACTTCATGGTGTTGTTGATTTCTTTGTTTTCTTTCTGTTTTTGATTTTGTTCTGTGGTCTTTCATTTAAGGGGATGTACAGTAACTGTGTAGTGGAGACTATCATATCTAGTAGCGTGTTATTTAACTTCATGGTGTTGCAAATTTCTATTTTTCTTCCTGACGCTGATTTTGTATTGTGGCTTTTCATTTAAGAGGATGTATGGTAGCTGTGTAATGGACACTATCTAGTAGCATGTTATTTAACTTCATGGTGTTGTAAACTTCTATTTTTCTTCCTGCTGTTGATTTTTTATTGTGGCTTTTCATTCAGGGGATGTTTGCTTACCTCATCTCTATGTCCCATAAAGTGATGTCGTCACTGATCCAGGGGTTGGCTGGCTCGGCTGGTGTGATGAAGGGATCATACTCTGCATACTGTTCTGTGTAGGCGATCAGGCTGTGGGAGGGAAGCAGAGAACAGGATGCTGTTGATGTCCCAGGAACTGTAACAACCGCACTGCAGCAGTCCTAACAGAATTCCACATTCAAGGTTGCTCCTGGTCAATCGTGCACCTTTCCTGCATCCCTGTTCCCTTCTCATGATCAGAGTGCCAGCCTGGTGCTGGGACAGTCTCAGTACTCATACACATGTGATGCCTGCTTCTCCCATCAGCTCTTCACCTGAACTTTGCTGCATCTCTGCCTGCCAGCATTAGCTCTGATGGAAGCACTGGTCCAATCCTACGTGTACATCACCTGTCAGGTGGAGCATGTAGAAGACATAGTTCTGCCATCCCAGGATCCCCAGTTGGGTGCCTTTCCTATGGCAAAGACTTTTAAACCCTGCCGGACACTTTTCCAAAATCAACTTCATTTGTCCAGTTGCAATGATCAGCTAATGTAAGTGCAACACACTCTCAACATTAAACTTACCAGTTAACTCTTTTTAAACTCATTTTTATCTTAAAATGCTTTAAAACTTGAGAGGCAGAGAGGCAAATGCAGAAAAAGAGGGATGGAGGGAAGAAGAGGGGCAGAGAGAGAATGCTTATTCCCCAATGCCCACAATGGCCTGGACTGGTCTGCAGCTGAGCCTGGGAGCCAGAAACTCAATGTGGGTGTCCTACGTGAGTGACACAGATCTCGTTACTGTATCCATCATTGTCTCGTTACTGTATCCATCACTGTTGCCTCTTGGGAGCCGGAGGAAGCTGCAGTGAGGGGCCAGAGCCAGGGCTTGAACCCAGACCCTCTGATATGACAAACAGGTCTTGATTATTAGAACATATACCTGCCTCTTTTATTTATTTATTTTAATCAAAATACATATTGATAGCTAAAACCTACTTGTAAAACAGTGCTGAGGAAAGACAGAAGAAGCAAATGCAATGATTGCAAGATTTTTTTCTTCTCTTTCTTCTTACTCCTATTCTGTGTCTTGTTCCTTCTAGCACCTGCCTGAATATGTTTAAATTATATGATCTTATAGCTGCTCTTGCTTTATTAAATTTGAGGCAAGGATTAAACGATCTACTCAATAATCTCCCACTCTCTCCTCCTCTCCCTTTCAATGATCTCCAGAAAGACTTACACGGCAATTTTTTGCAAAATCAGTGGTTGGTGTTCACATCATTAAACCAGATAAAAATCTTCTGGTGCTCAGATAAGTATCATGCTGCTATTTTCAAGTGTTTTAACAAACCTGTGAAACATCCATCAATATTTTTTTTTTTCACACCTGCAACACATTCAATAACCCATCTGTTCTGTGCCCTGCCTCCAGGAGTTTCTCTCTGTGTATCTTTGGTTCACTTCCTCCAACCAGGACTACTTGCTCCACGGACTTCATGCAAAATCATCAGCCCGGGACAGCCTTCCTTCTGTGTTGGAACCCTTGTTTTATGAGTTGTACGTGTGATCTTTGGTTTTATTCCCTGGTTGTGCAGAAGCACACCCTGCCATAGCTTTCTAGCAGAGAGCAGAAGAACCAAGCATTTTGAGTTCTTTCAGTGCTAATTAATGGTTTTCTCTCCATATCTGAGTGAAGGTACTTCTTGACAACTAGTGTTACTATTGAGAAGTCAGGGTCCATTTGAATTCTTGTTCTTCAGTTTCATTTCTCTTTTTCAACACAGAATCTTCTCTTTGGTGCTTGACTGCTGTGAAACTTCACATAGACTCTTGCAACCTGTTTCTATTTACTGTGCTGGACACAACATGCAACAGACTAAAAAAAAAAAACTCTAAGAAATCATGTTATTTCTTTGATAATGTCTTCTTTTTCTTTTTAAAATTCATTTTCATTGGAAAGATTTTACAGAGAGAAGGAGGGACAGAGAACAAGGTCTTTCATACACTGTTCACTCCCCAGATGGCCACAATGGCCACAATGGCCGGAGCTGAGCCAAGTGCTGCTGTGCTGAGTACCAGAACCCTTGGGATGGGTGAGGAAGGCCCCTGTGCTCTCTGTCCTCACAGCCCTGTAGCCAGAGCTGCCATGAATGCCACTGGGTGCCGATGGTCCCTATTGATTTGGGTCATGCCTGTATTCTGTTTACGCACTGTTTTTCAGCACACACACTGCCCTTCTCCTGTGCTCGGGCAGGTGAATTGCGAAGGATTGTTTCTTGTAGGGCAAGGTTTTGATGCTGCTAGAAACAGACTTGGCACAGCCTTCTGCTGTTAGTCTCTTGTTGTCTTCTCACCCCCCACGGCCCTGGTAGCTTCAGGAGTCAAGCATGGCCACTTTCACTGCAATGCAAGTATTTCTATCCCAATGTTTGATTTTTTTTAAAAAAAATGACAATTTATAATATTTCAGACACGCAGAAAGGCTGAAAAGTTGTAGAAAATCTCCCTTATACTCACTGCTCAACTTAAGAATATAAAATATTACAGAGAAACAGGAGCTGTGGTTATTAATGGTTCCTAATCCTCTAAACTTTGTATCTTGGAAAAAAAGTTTAATTTTTAAAATTAATCTCTTAACTGGTTGACTTGTGAGTCCAAATTAGTTTTATTCTCTTAGTTGCTTTGGGGGAAAAAGAGAGGCTAGGCCTGTTTATAGACCTATAATTAATAATAATTTTCCAATATTAAGATTATACACCTACAATTCATCATTTCTTAATTAGAAACAGACTTTCCCTATTTTCAGCAAGTCTCCATAGAGCTGTGGTGGAATACCACTGTTCTTAAAGGGTTTCTTGGCTCTGAGTTATTCATTTAGAATTCAAATCCATCAGTGGACCTATTTGGCCAAGAGGTATGACTAGCTTTATGGTTATCGATCCATGAGAAAACTTCTCCCCAAGCATTGCCAGCAAGATATGTTAGCAATTTCCCCCAATAGCTAAGTCAGAGGCTCAGTTCCTGGGACTCAATTGTAAAGGGTGGGCAGGATGAGGCTCTTAAATCTTGGGAAGGATTGCCACTTTCCCTTTAATTCTCGAATGGGGCTTAGAATGCAACAGAGGGAGCCTTGATAATTCTGGTTTTAAAGCCAGATGCAGATTTCCTGACACCTGTACACCTCCCAGCTGTCCTGCATGCAGACCCTCACTTTTGGGCGGGGAGGAGAGGAAAGGGGAGGAAGTTGAAAATCCCTCTTGGCTGAGACATTGAATTCCTCTTTGTCAAGTTTACCAATGGCCTTACTACACTACTGACACACCACACAGAGGAGCCACACGGCTGTCCTGAGACTGCTGCAAGTTGTGTGCCTTGCCCAGACAAGGTCTATCAGTAGGAGCTTTCAGCCTCTTAGGGAGGATGGACGGGCAGAGGATTCTCAGCAAGGCTTGTGGTGGGATGCTATCCCAGGGAACCACTTCTGTGCCACGAGGGCTAACATTCTCCCTGAAAGCAGTTAGGCTTTGCATGGGGACATGTGTCAGCTTCCCAGAGCTGCTGTAACAGATGGCTGCAGACTTGGTGGCTCAGAGCACTGGCAGCGCACGCAGTCTGAAATCCAGCGCTCAGCAGGAAGAACCCTTCTCTGCTTCTTCTGGCTTCATGCGCCACAGCTGCTGCCTGGTCAGTGGCTGTAAAACTTCAAGCTGTCTCTGTCTTCCTATGGCCTTCTCTTTGAGATCCTTATATCTATAAGTTTTTTCCCCAAGTGAGGCCACATGCATTGGTTCTAGACATGTTATTTTTTGGAAGAGTTTAGCCCACTGTAAGGACCATACAAGGATAAGCTGGATGTGGGGATGCCTGCACACCATGGTAGAGTGCTACGTTGTCTTGACTACTCTGCTTTCAATCCAACTCCCTGCTCATGAGCCTGGGGAAGCACAAGATGGTTCCCTTGCTTGGGCTACTCGACCCATGGGGGAGACTTGGACAGAGTTCCTGGCTCCTGGCTTCAGCCTGACCCAGCCCTAATTGCTGTGGGCATTTCTAATAGATGAAAAAATCTCTCTCGCACATTCATATTCTCTTTCTTCTTCTCTCTCTTTCTTCCTCTCTCTCTCTCTCACACACACACTAAATGCATCTTTAAGAAAAAGAATATGGACATTTTTGGGGATTTTTATTCTGCCTACCACACTTGTGGTTTAGAGGAATTTACGCAGCAGTTAGAAAATGAAGGCACCTGAAAAAGAGTGTGGCGGAGACACAAGGTGCAGGAGGCTTGCCTGGACTTTTGGAGACTGGCACTGACATATTTTATCCCACAGCCACTGTCACCACCCATGCAAATACACTTGGTACTCATGAATCCATGCTTGTCCTGTTGGCAATATCAATGTGAAGAAGGATAAGAGACAGCCAAGTGCATGTTCCTGGAGGTCCCTAGGGGCAACTTGAGCTTTGGGCAGGCTGTGGCAGGAGCTGATCCTTCTCAGAGAGAAAGAGAAGGTTAACACCACAGAGAAGGTTCACATGGGGGATTGAGAGGAGGTGAAAGACTGCTCCTGCCTGGGCAGGGAGGGCGGGGGAGGGTCCCCTTTCCTCTGCTCTTCCTCTGCATTACCCCACCAAATGGACGCAACACAAGGAGGACAGGGAGGACAAGAGGGGCTGCTCGTGACCACCATGCTCTCTTGTCTCCTTCATCTGAGCTGAAGCTGCCTTTCCCTGGGAGCTAGAGCTTTCCAGGAGAGACACAGAGGAAGAGCCACGAAAGGGTGGCTGTGAGGGATCAGACGCATGCTCAGAACAGAGTGAAAGGCTTCGGGGGATGCTTCTAGGCGTGAAAGAGGTTGGAATGGAGACACAAGCACAGCCCATAAATAGAATGGATGCTTTCAGTTCAGCTGAACTTTATGCTTAGTCTCTGTGGAAACCTGTGTGAGGCGGACAGAGATTCTGGGTCATGAGTGTCCCCTAAGATAGACGAGCAGACATGGGGAGACACCTCTGGATTTCTGCTCAGCTCACGCGTCTCCTGAGGCTTGCCCTTGGACATGGACACAAGTTTATTTCAGGGGCGGCTACAGGCTCACTCAAGAG